CCCGATTTTGACCCTTCTCTTATGGTGTTCCAAGCTCGGGTTGGTATGGTTTTGAATGGTGTTACATAGCTTAGTTTCCCTTGTATTCCCCTTATTTTTGGTTATCAGGTTATAGTGGTGTGTTTGGAACAAGTAATGTCTCCAAACCTTTAGATGCAAATCCAACCCGAATTGTGCCTTGCAAAGTTGTATCGGAAGTTAATTCTTTCATGTGTTTGCCACTTCGCTGAGTATGTTGCAGGTCAAGTCACTTTATACAGTTTACGGGGGTCGAGCTGCCCGGTCAGCTCGCCGAAGCAAAAATACAAAATGCATTCGAAATTGCTTGTCTGCTCAAACGGCCGTTTGTGCGCTAGAGCAGAGAATGTTTGGTTCTAGAAGTTTGACCTGTCTGCAAAAGTACTGGGAAAGTGCATTCGACGCTCGAGCGGGGCTTCCCACGCTCGAGCGGACCATGTTATATCAGTTCGTGAATCTGATATTTCAAATCACTTTTGTATATCTCTCTCTCTCTCTAAAAACATTTCCTCTCCCTTCTCTCTACATTTCTCTACACAAACTAGATTAACAACCTTGATTTCTCAAGATCCATTTGAGTTTTGCCATTGCTTCTTCATCAAAGCGGGTTGTTATCTCGAGGGTTTCATTGTGTACGGTGAAGATCGAGTTTCGACACCGTTGATTTTGGGGGTTTCATCTCATTTCTTCTTCAAAACTTGAGGTAGAAATTTTCTTAGAGTTATATATATATTTTTGCAAGATCTATATGATTTTCGAAATCATCTTTCGATAGCTTTGAAAATTGATTGTTGATTCAAAAAGTTGAGCGATTTTGAAAGTGGGTTTGTTTCTTGTTCTTTTAAAATGAACGTATGGGTTTTGATCTTCGTTGATTGAAGAAAAGATGATTTTGAAAAGTTTTCTTTCAAAAGATTTGAGTTGTATAGTTTTGGTAAAAAAAAACCTAGAATTTGGAGATTTTTTTAAAAGAGACTGAAAATTCATAAATGATATTGTTATATTTATTTTGTGTGTCAAAATAAATGGATGTTTGGAAAATTTCTTATTTATATTTATATAAATGATGAATTTTAGAGAATATGAAAATTGTTGTTCATTTTGGAAACTATTGTTCAAAACGTTGAAATAGTCTTGAAATGACTAATTGTTGAGGATACTTGAGAAGAGGGAATTGTGTTATTCCTTGGATGATGAATTGGAATAAAAGTATTTATATTCATCTTGTGAAATTGGCATAACAATTCATTTGATTACATTAAACTTTGAAAGTTGATTTGAAAACTTGCATTGAGAAAATAATGTTGAGAAACAAGTTTTCATGAAATGGTTTTGGGTAAATACGTTGGCAAGTCTTGATAGGTGGTGTAAATGATATTGAATAAGTTGGCCTAAGAGTCCGGGGTGAAAGACCGAAAACCCGTGCGGATAGGTGTCGAGCCTTCAGATTAATACCGGTAAAAATAAAAATTTGGTAGTACTTGTATAGTCTACTTGCAGACACCAACCTAGAGATTACTAAAATCGTATTTACCGCCCTTGAAATAAATTGTTAAGTTTTGAACAATTGAAATTGCATGACATCATTGAGCATGATGGTTTTTAAAAGATGAAAATGTGATTTATCTTCAAAAAGGGCATAGCATGGCATGTGCATTTCATCTCTTAAGACTTGTATAAAATGTATATACTTTGTTAAGGATTTCCTACTAGGCTTTATGCTCACCCTACGGGATTTTTGTGCAGGAAAAGATGTGGTTATACCGCCTAACTAAAGGCGAGGAAATGTGTGTTGAGAGTACGAGACTCTCATTTTGCTATGACTTTGTGTGTAAGCCAAGGGCTGTATGTGTGTGGATTTGAATAACCGTTTTGTGTAACCAGGCTCAAATCTTGGAAACTTGTAAACCCTTGGGGGTATTTATTTGTTTATTTACTTGTTATTGGATTAATGTATTGTTGCATGAAGAACTATTGTATCATGTAATGTAACTTTGGAGATTTATATTCAGTTTTCCTTGAAAGAGCCATGATTGTTGTATTATCATTTGGCCTAGAAATTTGGGGCGTTACAACATCAAACGGATCCTAAGATGTTTTGATATCTTATCAGGCCGAAAAATTAACTACCATAAGAGTGAAATTTGTGGTATTGGGGTGGATGATAGGCTGCTGCATGATTTTGCTACTAGACTTAATTGTCTTTACTAGAGGTTACCTCTCAAATATTTGGGGCTGCCTTTGGGGGCCAATCCAAGCAGGAAAAGTACGTGGAAACCAGTGTTGGACAAGTTTAAGACAAAACTATGTTCCTGGAAGGGGAGGTTGTTATCTTTTACTGGGAGATTAACCTTAATCGAGTCCGTTATGTCCAACTTGCCTATTTACTATTTATCTTTATTTAGAATTCCTATTAGGGTGGCTAAGAAGATTGAGAAAATACAATCAGTTTTCCTTTGGGGTAGATCAGATCTTTGAAGGAAAGTGCACATGGTCAAGTGGGATATGGTTACTAAAAATAAGAAGTTTGGTGGCTTGGGTGTGAGGAGGATTAGAACTATGAATGAATGTTTCTTATTAAAATGGTGGTGAAGGTTTGGGGCTGAAAATTAATCTCTATGGAAGGAAGTGATTTGCAGGAAGTATAATATTAGGGGTGGTAGATGGATTCCAAGTTTGGAAGGCAGAGGTTCTAAGCTTTGGTCTGATATAATAAGTTTAGTCTTGTCTAAACCTGATCTGCACAATTTCTATCTTAATAATTCTGTGATTGTGTTGGGGGATGGAAGGAGGCCACATTTCTGGTTGGATAAGTGAGTTGGTAATGTTTGTTTAAAGGAGGAATTTCCTAGGCTCTTTTCCTTATCTATTGACAAGCTGGGTGTGGTAAATGCTTCCTTTTAGAGAAGGGGTAAAGTTGGAGGATGGAACTTCGGATTCAGAAGGCAATTACTAGCTTGGGAGGAGGAGGAGGAGGTGGTCAGACTCTCATCTCTACTTCGAATTACACCTACACTTTGTAACAGTAATCCAGATTGGCTGTCATGTGCTGCAGATCTTTCAGGACTGTTCTGTATTTCTTCTGTTTAAAATTGGTGTGAGGCTAGTCTTGGGCCTGCTTTGGATGTGGCAGGACTGCTGTGGAACAATTGTGCTCTACCCAAAGTGCAATTTTTTGGGTGGTTGGCTTGACTTGGAAAGGTCAAAACTGCTAGTTTTCTTCATAGAATTGGTATTTTGACTGGTAATGTTAATCTTGCTTATGTCTTTTGTCAAAATGAGGTTGAATCTGTGGACCACATTGTTCTTTTCTGCCATTTTGTGTTGTTGCTTTGGTCTAACATTGTTAGATGGTGGTGTCTTCAGTAGGTTCTACCTAGCTCTATGCATGGGCTGCTATTGTGGTGGTCTGGTTGCAAAATGAAAAATCTAGAAAAGAAAATTTGGATGGTTCTTCCCCTAGCTATTCTTTGGTCCACTTTGAAGCATCGGAACGAGTGTGTGTTCAATGCTCTCAACCAAACTTAGATGAACTGTGCGACCTTGTTAAGGTCAGAGCAGCATTGCGGATCAAGGCCTCTCCAACCTCTGTGGTGTTCTCTGTTAATGATATTGTGTCGAGTCTGCAACAAGTACAATTCTGCATCAGGAATGGAGGCTGAATGGGTGTGCTGTGGCTGAATTGGTGTGTTAATCTGAGTTGGAGTAACAACAGCAGCTTTCAGTGGATGGTTCATCATCTGTTAGGATGGTTTGGTTGTTATATTGTTCTGTTGTCTGCAGCAGCTTTCAGTGGGTTGCTCTGTTGCTCTGTTAATGTTCTGTTGTCTGTTGCTATAGTGTCAAAGCAACAATCGAAAGACTGACAATTGTGGAGATCTGGTGTATAATCTACCGCAAGTCAAATTTTGCCTTAAGTTTGTTGGTTGAGTGTGTATTAGTATCAGGTCAAATTTTTTCTATCTATCTGTACTGATTCTACTAATTCTGTGTTGATTCTGCTACTGAGGTATTACTGAGGATTAGAAGTTATTCAAGTTCTAAGTTTGCATTGGTGGAGGTCTGTTGGGCTTATAAGGTCTGTTGTGCAAATTTTGTTTCTGCTGCTTATTGCTTCTTGGTTGCTCAGCTATGCTCAGGCTGCAACTCTACTGGTCAGCTTAGCTCTACTACTGGTCTATTTTGTTGGTCTATTTTGTTTTGTTTGATTTGTTGGCTGATATATAGGTCTGTGATAGACTCTCGTGTGTTCTGCTGTTGGTATGTTTGCTTTCGTTACTCAGCTGTTATATAGGCTGTGATCTGCTGGTCTTTTTTGTTAGTGTTTGGTCTGTTTTCTCGTTGGTTTCTCACCAATTTTGGGGGTGTTAGCAAATGATAGGATGAGATTTTTGGCACCAACCTAGTTGGGATGATTCAGCTCATTGTGATGCTGTTGCAATTCCCTTTTCTTTATTGATGTATTTTATTTTGTACTTTGTATTTGATTCTTACATCAATAAAGTTTCTTTTTTGCCGATTTAAAAAAAAAAAAAAAAAGTGCTGTAATGAAAAATTCTGCTTGATGGGAAAAATGAAAATAAATGAAGAATTTGAAAGGAAAATAAAAAAGAATCCCCCAAAAAAGGTGTAAAAACCACCACATGAACTATTTTATAGTTTAATTAACAATTTAATCCCCTACCAAAAAAAAAAGTAATAATAATAAAAACTAACAAAGAACAAAAAAGGAAAGAAAAACTGATACAATTCTCTATATTTTGAATTCTCCTCATTTGCCGAGCAGAATACCTCAAACTCAGACTAATCAACATGATAAATAGTGACTTGTTGATTTTCACAAAGAAAGGTATAAACCAGTGGAATACAACTATATTTTTCTCTTTCCTTTCTCTTTTCAGATCTTCCAATCTGCAATGCCAAAAAAAATCATTACTAAAAAGACCATGCTGCAATTCAATCAACTATGAATGTAAACCAGCTTACCTGGTTGTACAATTGCCAAGTGTAAGCTCAAGATCGTCACCAAGACATTCCTCGTGAATTCTCTCTCCTTCACATGCCTTCACCAACCCCTTTGTGTTACTACTAAATACGGACTTAGCTGCAGTCCCATCAAACATTGGAACATCTGAGGTTTGATCACACCCCGCTGCAAATGCCGGAGAGCATGTTCCACTTTGCCCAGAAGTCCACATTCGAGACCCTCCACCTAAAAATGCCTTCTTGAAGACAAATGGGCTTGATGCGACAAGGCTAAATGTAAGAGATGATGGTCCATCTTGGGGAGTTTGAACACTAGAGAGCCATCCCGAGTCAGGCGGGGTTTGATAACCAAGACTTTGTGGGGTAGAAGAGGGTAAAAATGTCTAGTGTTGCGCAGCCCAGGCAGCACTAGCGGTTCGATCATCCCAATTATCATTCATTCGTGGAGTCCGAGCTGTAGGGGAGCTCAATGGTGGGGTGACCGGAGCACTTATAGAACTTCCATGGATGTAGAGATGGTGAGGGAGCTTGGATGAGCCTCCTGATGAGAGGTTTTTGAGCCATGGGATGAGGGAGTTAGCGTCACCATTGCTAATGGCATTCGCAGCATAAGGCGATGAGATTGGGCTAGGAAATGAAGATGGAGTGGGGCTTGGATTGTAGGATGCACATGGACTAGGTTGATATGATGAGCATGGGCTTGCTGATGCTGACCCACCCATTATTTCCATGTGTTCTATGGGTTTGTATCCCTACAGACGAACAAAGATATTAGCAAGAAGCCAAAAAAAAATTCAAATGTAACAAAAGGTTGTGTAATGATATTGATGGGCCTTAAGAGGGCTTAGCCCCCAACTCAAGGCCCAGATACCAAAGCCTAGTATCATTGAGAAACCAATATTAAACTAGGACCAATAGCATTTAAACACTTGTTAGACAGAAAATAAGCCATGAAAACAGACAAAGATCCTGCAAAGTTATTACACCCACACATCAGCCATTAATAAGGCTCTCACAGCATTAAATGCTATAATCCCTTCACGTTGGAGGAGACAGACTCACCATGAACAATGCGAGCTAGAATATAGACTTTCAGCCAACACGATAGTTCGTAAGGGACAAGAAAATGATAAATAAAGGATATAAGAAAGTTTTCAAAACCCATTAAAGGTTAAGTTATTCATTCTTCCTCTTCTTCTCTTTACACAATCTCTCCTATTCTAACTCGATCGTCAGAGGGTCCACTGAGGGATTACCTCCCCTTTTGGACCTTTTTTGTAGGAACATTCTGTGGGCATCGAGAATAGCGAAGCCGTTAGAAGTGTGGATCAGATTGACGCATCTTCCGTTGAAATCAAACCATCATCAGTTGGCGCCGTCTGTGGGAATTTCCATTCTGAAATGACAGTTGTGCTCATTGTCGTCAGAAGAAACCTCGTACTCATCCACCCCCTACATCAGAGTGGATAGTTACGACTCGATCCATGGCTTCCCAACACAATGCTGGTAACCCCGAAGCTAAGCCATCTAACCCAAACAACCCGCCTCTATATTTCATAGAACTCAACAACAGCATCAACCGACTGACCGAGCAAAACCAAGCCTTGATTAATGCCTTACTCCAACGTGACCTGCCTATCCCACCTCCACCACATCCAATAGTTCCCCCTTACCCAAAACAAGCCCACCATCACCATCAATTCCCACTACATGTGCCTCAAGGAACATTTCCACCCTTTGCCCTGCGGCCTTAATTGTTGAATCTTGACGGTATGTACCCTCCCCCGTTAGGCTTGCAGCCTCGTCAAGATATGCCACCACCATTCCATAACCATCCCTTACCACACCATACGACTGCCCATAAAGGTGAGGCTAGCAGTGTTCAACCCCTGATCCCTATTTGTGGGAATAATGCTCCTGTCTGGGATGAAGAATTGCGGGCCATGAAACTCCAACTACAAGGGGTCATGTAAAACATACAGCATAAGACTTCCTCCACCGTTAACTCTCCTTTTACCGCCTCTATCCGGGATAAGGCTCTCTTTCCCAAGTTCAAGATGCCATCGATTGACACCTTCGATGGTACCACTGATCCCGTCAACCATGTAGAAGCATATCAAATACTTATGATCTTACATGCCTTTCCAGATGAAATTATGTATCACGTCATCCCTATCACGTTAAAGGGGTCACATTTGGTTCAGTCAGCTCCCCCTCAGATTCAGTCACTTCATTTCGTCAGCTCAGCGAATCCTTCTTAAGCCACTTCATTGGTGCTTAGCGACAACAGCATCCAGCCATCTAACTGCTAAACATTCGGCAAATAGAAGGGGAGTCGTTATGCAGCTACGTCACCTACTTCAACACCGAAGCCCTACAAGTGGAGGAAAATGATGACAAGGTCATTCTCACAGCCTTCATGGCCGGTTTATGCCCGTCTAATTTCCTCTTCTCCTTCTCTAAAAATCCCCCAACCATCATGGCCTCCCTTCTCGCCAAAGCCCAAAAATACATGAACGCCGAAGACTCTCTGGCAGCTCGCCAAGACTCCACATCCAAAGCCCTACCTTTCAAAGACAAAAGAAAAGAGCCTGAGCCCCGACCCTCGCAATTTACATACCGACCCCCATCACACCACGATCGGCCTACACACTCGGACTGACCGGCTCCAACCCACCCACCTGGTCGGTTTGAGCGGTACACATCTCTCAATTCATCCATGGAGCAAGTACTGAAACAAATTCAACGAGACTATAACTTGAAATGGCCTCAACCATCCAGATCTCCCTTCAACTGACGGGATCAATCCAAGTATTACCGTTTCCACTAAGACCACGACCACAACACTGATGAATGTGTCAACTTCAAAGACCAGGTCGAGGATCTGGTCCGTCAGAGACATTTCAGTCGATTCATAGTAGCTTGTCCTCCACAGAGGCCTAGAACGGGCTCCCCAAACCATAACTGCCAACACATTCTCGCCTAACGCCCAACACAACCTGAGCAGAATGATGATCGGCCTCAACACCTACCCCGAGCTCACAGTGACCCTCCCGCCCTACTAGGTGAAATAAGGGTCATTGCCGGCGGCCTCGTATGCGGCAGACTATCTCGGTCGGCACGGCGAGCTGAGCTTTGAAAAATTCGACAAAGCTCTCATAGAGAAGTAGCCACGGTGGACCGACCCTACATGCAACCCAAGCAATGGTCCGAGCCGGTCACCTTTACAGCGGCAGACTACACAGGTATTTGCTATCCTTATGACGACCCCCTAGTAATCTCTGTTCTCTTATCAAACTACAAAGTTAGAAGAGTTCTGGTCGACAACGGCAACTCTTCAGATATTATCTTCCTCAACGCCTACCGCTAACTAAAGGTCGGGAAAGAAAAGTTGTCACCTCTACAAACCCTCTAGTGGGCTTCACCGGCGATCGGGTCACATCCATGGGCTCCATCGACCTCCCCATCACCATCAAAGAGTATCCACGACAGTCCACCAAACTCCTTACTTTTCTCGTTGTCGACTGTCCCTCTGCTTATAACATCATATTAGGGAACACCTCCCTTAATGCCCTTCAAGCCGTAACCTCCACGTATCATCTGGCCATAAAATTTCCCACTGGCCAGGGGGTTGGCACTGTGAGAGGTGAACAAATGGTAGCCCGGGAGTGCTATGTCGCCTTATTAAAAGAAGTCAAAATGAAAGCAGCTATGATCATCGAAGGCCTTGATGTTAGAAACGAGGAAAAGTCAGTTAGAGAGAAACCAATGGAGGAACTTGTCGAAGTACTTGTCGATCCTACCGATTTAACAAAAACGACTAAGATTGGCAGCCAACTGTCCTCTCAGGCCAAGGCTGATCTCATAGCTCTCCTAACCAAGCACAATGATGTCTTTGCTTGGACCCATTCAGACATGCCAAGTATCGACCCTTTTTTTATTACCCATCGTCTCAGCATTGAACCCTAATTCCGACCGTTCTGCCAAAAGTAACGAATTTTTCACCCGGAACGTAACAGCCTTATCGCCGCTGAGGTTGACAAGCTGCTGAAGGCACAGTTCATAAAAAATGTAGACTATCCCAGATAGTTGCCCAACATGGTCTTGGTTCACAAAAACAACGGCAAATGATGACTCTGCGTCGACTATTCCGACCTCATTCGAGCCCGTCCCAAAGAGAGCTACCCCCTTCTCAGGATAGATCTATTGGTTGACGCAACTGCGGGACATCAGATGCTTAGCATCATGGATGCTTTCTCCGGCTATAATCAAATCTTAATGCACACAGCCGACCAGGAGCACACCTCTTTTATAACTGACAAGGGGACTTATCACTACCTTGTCATGTCGTTCAGTTTAAAGAATGTTGGAGCCACTTATCAACGCCTAGTTAATGTCGTCTTCTAACACCAGATAGGTCAGGACATGGAAGTCTACATTGACGACATGCTCATCAAGAGCAAACTCTCCTCCGACCACTTAGCAGACCTACGCGAGACTTTCCAAACCTTGCACAAGTATCAGATGAAACTGAATCCAGAAAAGTGCGCCTTCGACGTTGGGTTTGGTAAGTTTTTAGGGTTCATGGTCACCTAACGAGGCATTGAGGCCAACCTAGAAAAGATCAAGGCCCTGATAAAAATGCGGTCCCCCAAGACAGTCAAGGAGGTTCAACGGCTTACAGATAGAGTTGCCGCCCTCAACCGTTTCATTTCACGAGCAACTGACAAATGCTTTTCATTCTTCAAAGTCGTTTGGCCGGCCTTCGAATGGAACACCGAGTCTGAGGCGACCTTCCAGTAACTGAAACAGTGCATTGCCAACCCTTCATTCTCTCTCAAACACTACAAAACGAATCCCTCTTCCTCTACAGAGTTGTGTCTAACACCGCCGTTAGTGCTGCTCTCATCAGGGAAGTTGGCTCAGTATAGCGCCCAGTTTACTACATCAGTCGCGTACTCAGGGGAGTCGAACAGAACTACCCTCTATTAGAAAAAATGGCTCGCGCCCTGGTCATCGCCTCCAGACGCCTTCGACCCTATTTCCAAGCTCATTCCGTAGTGATTCTTACCAACCAGCCTTTGAAAAAGATTATGCAACAACCAAAATCATTAGGCAGGCTCATATAGTGGACCGTTGAACTAAGTCAATACGACATCTCCTACCAAAAATGAACAGCCATCAAAGGCTAGGCTGTCGCCAACTTTATCTTGGAATTCAGAAATCTTATCTCGCACGCGCCGCCTCCACCAACTCATGGTCCTATTAAGGAGGAAGACCCCCATTCGTAGACTTTTTGTGTTGATGGTTCATCCCACAAAGAGGGCAGCGGAGCCGGTTTAATCCTTACTAGCCCAGATGGTGAATACTTCAAATGCGCCATCCGATTCTTATTTGTAACAAGTAATAACCAGACCGAATATGAAGCTCTCATAGTAGGTCCTCGACTAGCTAAAGATATCGGAGTCGATCATGTCCAAGTGTTTAGCGATTATCGATTGGTAGTCGGCCAGATAACGGGCAAGTTTGATGCCAAGAAAGAAGCCATCTGATCATACAAGGACATTGCTCTTCTTCTGACCTGTCTCTTTAATAGCTTTTGTATCCAACATGTCCCTAGGTCAGAAAACTCCCAAGAAGATGAAATGGCACAGTTAGCCTCAGCAGACCAATTAGACCTTTGTCATGGCGTCCGGGTTGAGTACCTGACCCATCCAGCAGTCTCCCCAGATCAACGAGTAATTCACCTGTTCCAAGATGAACCTATCCCATGGGCCCAGGACATCATCACATTTCTCGAGCGAGGAACACTTCTAGCAGACAAACTTGAAGCCACTAAAGTCAGGACTTGATCATCGAATTACGTCATTATCAGTGGCACCTTGTATAAAAAGGGATTCTCGTGACTATATATAGCGATTCCGGTTTTGACCCATTACTTATTGTATTCTGGACTCGGGTTGGTATGGTTTTGAATAGTTATTCATATCTCTTTCCCCTATCTTCCCCTTTATTTTTGGTTATCGGGTTGTAGTTGTGCGTTTGGGACAAGTTGGTTGCTTGTTTTCTAAACCTTTGTTGCCCAGATTTTGGCTCTTCCGCTCAAGCGGGCATTCTTGCGCTAGAGCGGACATTCTTGCGCTAGAGCGGGCTTCACACATTTTGCTCCTCCGCTCGAGGGGCATTCTTGTGCTCAAGCGGGCTTCACATATTTTGCTCATTCCCTCAAGCGGCCATTCTTGCGCTCAAGCAGGATTTGTCAAGTCTCAGCATTTTTGTAATTCTGAAAATACTGGGAAAGCGCATTGGATGCTCAAGCGTCCATTCTCACGCTCAATCAGGGTCCTTCGTCTGCAAAACTTCTGGAAATGTGTATTCTACGCTCGAGCACCAACTTTCACGCTTGAGCAGAACTTTGTATCTGACGCTCGAGCGAACTGCGTGTATAACAGTCTGTGAAGATGTCATTTTGAATAACTTTTTCTTCTTTCTCTCTCTCTCTCTCTCTCTCTGATTCTTTTTATTTTATTAATTTGTGGGTCTTGTTAACACTGGATTTAATTATTGAGATTTATGAGACATGTTGTATGTTATTGCAGGAAGAGTATGGCATCGGAGATGAGGTGGGAAGGTTGAAGTGCAAGCACGGGTATCATATGGTATGTATAGCGCAGTGGCTGTAGTTGAAGAATTGGTGCCCAATCTGCAAGGCTTCAGCAGTGTCATCACGGTCATCATCTTCACCACCTCTCTAGTTGAGTTGAGATTGAGATTATGTGCCAAATCTGAAAATGACCATTTTATTTCAGTACATATCATGTGGCTCTCTCTTCATTTCTCTTTTTCTTTATTTTCTTTTGACTATGTAAATAGAAAGTCCATTTCTTAATGTAAAACAATAAGCCCAGGCTCTTTTGCTTTGTGGTGGGAACTCCAAATTTAACTTCAACACAACTTCAAATGAAAAGATTCTCAAATTTCTGCTGTTTACTATTGGAACAAAGTTCATTCAGGGTTTTTGTTTCTTATTTTTATTTTTTGGTTGGTTGATAGTTTCATTGTCCTATACAGGTTGAATCACGGATGTAGTCAAGATTGTGTATTT